ACTGTATATGACCATTGCTACCATATGTGTGTGATGTTTGCGTGTATTACTGTATGTGACTGTTACTACCATATTGTGTGATGTTTGCGTGTGTTACTGTATGTGACTGTTACTACCATATTGTGTGATGTTTGCGTGTGTTACTGTATGTGACTGTTACTACCATATTGTGTGATGTTTGTGTGTATTACTGTATGTGACTGTTACTACCATATTGTGTGACATTTGCGTGTGTTACTGTATGTGACCGTTGCTACCATATGTGTGTGATGTTTGCGTGTAATACTGTATGTGGCCATTGCTACCATATTGTATGATGTTTGTGTGGGTTTTATGAATATTGAGTGACGTTTGCTTGCATAATGACCACTGCTGTCACATGTTGTGATGTTTGCTTGCGTTATATGACCATTGCCAGTTTACAACCATGACCATTGCTACCATATTGTGTGATGTTTGTTTGCATTATATGACCATTGCTACCATATTGTGTGATGTTTGTTTGCATTATATGACCATTGCTGTCATATTGAGTGATGTTTGTTTGCATTATATGACCATTGCTACCATATTGAGTGATGTTTGCTTGCATTATGACCATTGCTACCATATTGTGTGATGTTTGCTTGCATAATGACCTTTGCTACCATATTGTGTGATGTTTGCTTGCGTTATATGACCATTGCTTCCATATTGAGTGATGTTTGCTTGCATAATGACCATTGCTACCATATTGTGTGATGTTTGCTTGCGTTATATGACCATTGCTTCCATATTGAGTGATGTTTGCTTGCATAATGACCATTGCTACCACATTGTGTGATGTTTGTCTGCATTATATGACCATTGCTTCCATATTGAGTGATGTTTGCTTGCATAATGACCTTTGCTACCATATTGTGTGATGTTTGCTTGCGTTATATGACCATTGCTTCCATATTGAGTGATGTTTGCTTGCATAATGATCATTGCTACCATATTGTGTGATGTTTGTCTGCATTATATGACCATTGCTGTCATATTGAGTGATGTTTGCTTGCATAATGACCATTGCTACCATATTGTGTGATGTTTGTTTGCATTATATGACCATTGCTTCCATATTGAGTGATGTTTGCTTGCATAATGATCATTGCTACCATATTGTGTGATGTTTGTTTGCATTATATGACCATTGCTGTCATATTGAGTGATGTTTGCTTGCATAATGACCATTGCTACCATATTGTGTGATGTTTGTTTGCATTATATGACCATTGCTTCCATATTGAGTGATGTTTGCTTGCATAATGATCATTGCTACCATATTGTGTGATGTTTGTTTGCATTATATGACCATTGCTGTCATATTGAGTGATGTTTGCTTTCATAGTGACCATTTATCATATTGTGTCATGTTTGCTTGTGCTGTAGAGAAAATTGTTTCCATAAAGTCTAACTGTGTGTGTTTTTGTTAGTTTTAAGTCATTACTAAAAACATTTTGATTTTCTATGTTTATAAGTCCTTTTATTTTTGAATGCTTTAATTATTTCACTCATTTCTGAGTAGAATTAAATAAACACCCTAACTCAAATTATGCTAGCATTATAAGACACTTGAGAATTTATTTTTGGGTAATTTTTAAGCACTTCCATATTTCATTTGTGATAAATATTAATCTCATTTTGCCTGAATTGCACCAAACACTTTATTACAGGGTGACCCCAAAAATTGCAACCCTCCATTTCTTCTATATTTTTCTTAAATGGAGTTAAATTACTCTGAGATTTGGCACACAAGGACTTCATTCAATGTGGGATACTCTGGCACAGTTTTGATAATCATAGTCTTATATTGATAAAGTTATGGTTGTTTCAAAATATGCTCCAGATGTTTTTTTGGGTCACCCTGTATTTACTCTAAAGCCCAATTATTTAACACATAGCTGGTATACATTTTGAAGTAGCAGTTGTGTCATCTGTTTCAGAGTTTTGCCTTTTGTGTATTAACTATTTGTTGATTATTTCAGGCTCACTCCTATTTCAGTGCTAAAACCTGTTTACAGGTTTTTAGGTGTTCATACCTTTATGGATAATTATAAGCCAAGAGTGGTATAAATAATGATTTTGTTACTTATGCACATTAGGCCTATATGAGTTAATTGTCTGTTTAGCAGTACCTGGTGTGTCATCCAGAAAGCTTCCTTGGGATCCTTTTTATGGCACCTTTTTGAAGTGCTATATTGTCATTGTCTTGGGCCGTTGGGCCTGCGGGTTGGTGGATGCCACATAAATTCTGTCAGCAAAATTCTGGCAAAAGCAGTTCCCTATTCAATAATCTGATTAGGTTTTGGGCATGCTGGGTAAATTATGTGGTTGTCATTTTGAATCTTCCGAATAAAAGTGTGAAAATGTAAAAAAAATTATATAGCCTAGTCACTAAGCCATTCTCTCCAAAAACTGCTAATCAGACAACTATACCTTGAGGGGCCTCACTTGTATTGTTACACCATGTATTGTATACTGTATGCAGATTGGAGGTTGAATGTTTTGTATACTGTATACAGATTTGTGGTTGAATGTCGCACCATGCATGGTACAGGCTACTAATAGGAATGTAGGGTATAAATGAATGCAAAAGTGTTCTTGTGCATGCTACTGAAACCTTAATTGGACCAATCACTGGAATATAAATAAATGTTTATTTGAGATGTCACAGAGAAAACTTTAAAGTTTTATTTGAGCATTTTAGATCAATATCAAAGTCATTTGATGAGCTTGTCTAGATAATGAAGTGACCAGTGTGATGGATAATCCAGAAAGGTTTTTTATATATGCACGGGCAGTACATAGTGAGCCAAAATTTCTTGATGCATAATAAATTTCTTATTCATGTATTGTATAGAAATACACATTTTTGTTGCAAAATGTCACATGTCATTTCTAGACCTACATGTATGTAGTAACTAATGTACAGTAAAATGTGGTCATTTGTGATAGAGATACTGTATGTATGCTGGTATGTGAATGTACATGTACTATAATATTAATATTTACAATAAAATTCATCAAATATGATAATGCATCAATTTTCATCATTCACATTACTTGATACATTAACCAATAGTAAATAACTTTACCAGAAGCTGACACCTAAAGATAACAGACTGACAGAAGTAATTCTAAAACTAAAAAATTCATGAAATTAGTGAATGTTCAAGTCAAAATATTCTTCCATGGTTGTGGTATATTGAGACTGAAAGTTTAATCTAGGACATGTAGGAAGGGAAATTTGACTCATAGTAAACTGGTTCAATGGGCAAAAAATATGAATGTGATAAAAAAGATCCTCTGACATTTCTGACAAAAAATCAAGCCTGATATAAATGAACAGGGTGTGCCAGAACTAAGGAGAAATGTTTGAGGGAGATTTAGGCACTGTTGATTTTTATTAAAATTTGGTGCACTCATGAAACATACATTAAGGAATATTTCTGAATTTATTGACATTTGAATTCTCTGTACCCTGTACTGTTATCTAGTTTTGTAATTGTTTCAATGAGAAATTACCTAATATTGATTCAACTTGGTATTAAATCCAGGTACAAAATAATAGAATGATACTTATCATTGTGACAAATAGATGACATCAATGATGTCATAATAACTTGGTACAGGCATTGGTTTATTATTTTGTTTTGTTCTTATTATTTTGTTTCTATGATTGATAATTTCTTATTTTTTGTTTCTATATTATCTTCAGTTTCATTCATAAAGTAACTTAAAATGCAATTTTATAAATTCATGTTATGTGTTTCAGGATCGTGCCTGCTAGTGCATCACCGTATGTGCATCGATTCATGGGTGGTGATAAACTGATGGCAAACTTTGTTGGACGACAAGGGAACAAAAAGACCAACTAAAGAAATTAATGTGGAATGAATATTTAGCACTTCCTCTTCGGGACTATTAATTCAACTTACGATTCAAGAAAATGCAATCACCTTATAGCATCATGTCAATGTAATTTATGACTACAGATGATAGTTTACTAATTAAAGATGTCTTCATGAACATTTTAGTTTCACCAAAATCTCAAAAGAGGGAGTGTCTCAAAGCACATAGCAATGCAACATGTTTTGAAACTGCTTATCAAACCAAAGATGAACTTGTATTAGGACTGCAGTATTAGTTAGTCATATAGTATTAGGACTGCAGTATTAGTTAGTCATATAGTATTAGGACTGCAGTATTAGTTAGTCATATAGTATTAGGACTGCAGTATTAGTTAGCCATATAGTATAAAGGTGCTTGGTTGGTTACTTAAAGTTAACCATATACCAATTTTATATTGCAACTGGAAATTGGCTTATGGAGAGTGTTTTGTTTATTTTTGTGTACTTTCGGTATGTACATGTTATTAGTTCCTTATTGTCTAAATGCCATATTACATGTACTTAATATATAAATGTAAATTGCTTTAATTTGATGACAGTTTGATAACTTTATGATTAAAAGTTGTCATGTGTCTTGTTTGTGATTGTGTTAATTATTCCACTGAATGTTTGAGTAGAGATGCAGAGAAAAATCCATATGCCTGTTGGATTGATTACTTAAGTATTGGTTGATAGATTTGGTTTAAATTTTATAGACTATTGCCTCATAAGGTATAAGCATAAAACCCCATTTTTCATGTTTTTATACTTCCAATATGAAAAATAATTTTTGATAACTTACTTACTGATGCCCCATCAGTACATAAAAGGTGAGGTTGATGTTGATTTTTCTAGTCGTATTGTTTATCTATAATGAGCATTGGAACAGTACAAACACAATGACAGAGTACACTGTGTTAAATCTTTTCTTCTTTATCCATATTTGGAAGGATTTTAAAATTTTATGTAAGTTCAAAAACTAATTTTTGTAATGTGGACGTTATTTATTTTAAAATGTATTTGTTATCTGTAATATGCCAGTACAATGAATATGATATTGTGCATAACAATCTGGGTATCAACCCAGTGTTAAACATACATATTATATGTAAATGTAATAAATAATTTTAAAATTGACATTCAATATAATTTGTTCCCTTCATTTGTTCATAGTAGAGTAAATACTCCTCTTTATTGCATACATAAAGGCAGGCAAAGGAGTGGTAAATACAGTGAAACCTGTCAAGTGGAACGCCCCTAGAAATGGAACACCTCTGTCAGTGGAACACTTCAGAATCCTAAGACCAACTCTTAAATGAACCTCAATAAGTAGAACACCTTCAAAGTGGAACATATTTTAAAGGTACCAAAGGTGTTCCACTTTGACAGGTTTTACTGTATGCCAAATTTAAATTAAGAAGGGAGTAAAAATCCTCTAAATTTCCTTATTCTAGATCACATTTCAACCATTCTATGGTCAACTCGGCCATACCAACACTTGACTCTAAAACAAAGGCATGTTCATACCCTTTCTCACATAGTATTATATTACCCTGAGGAAAAATCTTTTTCATGTCATGGTAGTATTCTACTGGACACCAGTGGTCAGTGAGTCCATAATAAAACAGAATTTTGTCCAAGTTTTCTCTGATACCCTGTAGATCTGGCTCTCTAACAAGTTGCATCTCATCATTAGCCATGTACATTGAGTTCTGTTGGCATGCTGCATCAAATAAGCACAGAGCACCTTTAATGGTACACTCAGGAACATTTCGTTGACTCATGTACTTCCTTATGATTCCCTCCTGAAGACTTTTAGGTAAATATGATGCTGCTAGGGTGAGCGGATAGGCTAGCCAGCGGGCATACCTCAAGAGAGGGGTGGCATACTGGCCCTGAGGGGACACCGCCATTCTCTCTATGGTTGGAAATAATAAATAAGACTTGATTATGTTCCATTTTGGCAATCTCTTCATAATTTCTATGATGATTTGGCAACCTATGGAATGTCCTATAAGAACCAAGTTTAAGTTCTTGGGGATATGTTCTTGTATGAATGCCACTTTATGCTGTGTTTGCCCCTCTAGAGTGAAAGGATTCCCAACTGGGTCTGAAGATAAACAAATAATTCTGCATTTTATATTTCATGAAGATATTTCTTATCTTATTATTTTAATTCTGCATTTTTAGATAAATAAGGATGCCTTGAATATATCATATAATTAATTCTTCAAAAAGTTTACAAATTGGTCAATTTCACAAATCTGTTAAATGATGAATTTCTAGTTTTTATGATAACCCGAGTGACAAATCAATCACTGAAAATCAAATTAATCATTTTAATAGTTTTTTGAAAATGGCCAACATACGTTTCACAAATATCATTCAGAATATTCTAACTACCAAATATCAATCAAATCATAACCAGGCCAGGTTTTGATTAATTGTGAAACAAATTCAATAATTCAAATCAAAATATATAACTATCATGCTTTAAACATGATTTGACAAACAATGGCACTCTGTAACTGTTTAAAGAAGTTTTGAAATATCATTCACATTTATACAAGTAATATACTCGGAAAGTCTCCATTTATAGGTAGGCTGAGTAATAGGTGACAAACTGGTTATTAACTCTTCCCTTACATATAGGGTACATGTTACTGTCAAGCACAAACATTTTAGATGTACTGTATACACAGCCTTCTTTCATGACAACATAACAGAAAGGAAAGATAACGTGTATATTATTATACCACTACCATATTGCCCCTTGTATTGTTTCGGAGCTGGGACATGACCCGCATGTGCAACAGCCCATACAGGAACCTTCTCTCCCAGGCCCTTGTAGATAATCTCCATGTATTCTGCATAGAAATCTGGTACACCTGGGTTACCTGTAAATGATGCAATAGAGCATGTTGAATCAATGATTACAATTCGGGTCAAAAGATGGCAGTGTTACATACTATCAATCAATAAAGACATAAAAATATAAAGACAATTTCAATTCTACATGTAGGACTAAAAAGATGGTTAAACTTCTGCAAGGTTAAACTTGAAAACCAGTATGATGTGTTATTTGGTATCCCTTAGGGGACCTCATACTGACTTCAGTCTGCCACATGTGTGTGCTGAAGATACTGTAGGACTCAATGAATTGCATATATGTAGGAAGCCATCACTGAACATGCTGGTACTGTATCACTGAAGAGTCTACAGGGATGCCTTAAAAGCATTGTGTTTACAAGATTATTTTATCTTACCTGGTATGATGAGAACTAGAGATTCCACTGAATCTCCAAGTGTCCCATATTGAAGAACATGAGTGGGAACACCAAGTACAGTGGGATACTCAGAAACATTCAATTGTTTTGTTTCTGGTTCTTTTGCGGGCGTATCGCTGAAGCTGCTTTGTGACATTCTTTTCCACCAGACACAAGACTCTTACCTCATGGACCTTCTAACGTGTGACCGTGTTGTCCCGACTCCCTACAGACAAAAAAGCAAGCAAAATGAATACATACTACAGCCCACTTCATTGTTTTATTTCGTCAGTAAAACCTAAAAAATAAGAAATCAAGATCATTGTGCAATAATATATGGAAAAATATATTCCTATTGTACATAAATGACATTTGTATATCTTGGATGGCTTCTAGTTTGGCTAATAAAGTATATGGCCTCTTATATTTTGATGCTTCTCTGCCATTTTCAAAAAGATTGAACATGGCTGAAATTACAGTTAAATTACACGTACATGAACATGAGGGCATGTGCATAGGCTTATTCAGAGACATATCATTTATATTTTAAATTTATATATCTCTGGCTTATTGCACAAAAAACTAAATAATCTGAAATATACAAATGTCATTCATGTACAATATGAACATATATTATTGTAAATGGTCTCCTGATTTCTTATTTTTGGGGTTCTACTGACGAACTAAAACAGTGTTATGGGCTGTACAAGCATTAGCCATGTTGAAGGCTTTAGCATTTGCTGATTTTTAAAATTTCGATATTTGTTTCGAAATTAAAAATCAGCAAATGCTAAAGCGAGACCGTATCTGTTGCAAGACTAACGCCTGGCGTAACCGTCACCTTGTTATTCAGTGTTTTTTAAGTAGCGCAAGGATCCTGCCATGACCGTGGTAATGTTATCGTGAAAGCCTGGTATAACCGCGACGATGCTGTATTATATTGCAATGCCTGCCATGACTGTGATAATGTAATATAGTTCTACAAGGCTCGGTATGACCGTGACAATGTAATATAGTACTGCAAGGCGCTGGCATGACCGTGACAATGTAATATAGTATTGCAAGTTCAGGTATGAGAGTGGTAATGTAGAAATTTACGATTAGGACTGCTATAACCGTGACAATGTGTATTGCAAAGCCTGGCATGACCGTGGCAATGTAATATAGTACTGCAAGGCCTGACGTGGCCGTGACAATGTAATATAGTATTGCAAGGCTTGGTATGACCGCCGTGGCAATGTGATATAATATTCCAAGTTCGGGTATGAGAGTGGTAATATAGAAATTTATGATTTGCTATAAGTAACCATGACAATGTGTTTTTGAAAACCTGGCATGACCGTGGCAATGTATTATGGGATCGCAAAGCCTGGTATGACCGTGACAATGTAATATAGTATTGCAAGGCCAGGTATGAGGGTGGTAATGTAGAAATTTAGGCTTAGTCCTACTATGACCGTTATAATGTATTGCAATGACTAGTAAATATGTATGACATAATGCCAGGAATATCCTTAACAATTTTATGTGATCCGCATTTCAACTAAACAGTTTAATACTATGATCATGGTGTTTAACTACCTTAATCATGTCAAAATAAAAATTACTACTATTCATTAATATTCACATTCGCTTATAAACCACAATAAGGGCTACGGTCGCGCCAGGCTTCCACGATAACACTTCCAGGGTCATGACAGGCCTTGCAATATAATACAGCATTGTCACGGTTATACCAGCCTGTCACGGTTATACCAGGCTTACACAATAACACTACCACGGTCATGGCAGGATCCTTGCGCTACTTAAAAACACTTATTAACATGGTGACGGTTGTGGCAGGCGTAAGTCTTGCAATAGATAGCATGTGGCTAAAGCCTTCAACAAGGCAAGGCTATACAAAATTACAAACATTAGAATTACCCGGAAGTATTGTAAATTTGTATATGCTGAAGTATTATGGCATTGCATGCTTTAATTTTGTGAAATTAATACCCAGTATCATAAGTTGTAACCATATAGTTATATATGTAAGCATTATTTGATACTATGATGCCTAAATGAGTACCTAAATGACAAGAAAAGTCGAAGCTTTGGATCGAGCTGATCTCTGGACGTTCTACCGGATTACGCATAACACTAGACGAAATCTAACTTGATTCCCGGGTAAAAAGTAATGGTCTAATATATTTATCAGTGATGTACCCGGGAACTAACAAGGGAGGCACCTCACCTCACAGTATATTGGAAGTGAAATGCCACTATATTCATAATACATAATATATGAATATGATATTCTATTGGGTTTCCAGCAGACCGTCCACTGCCGGTGTGAAGTTTTTCATAAATTAAAGTTTTAAGATATTACATGGAATCAATGGATCATGATTTTTTCTTTTTCAGATGTTTGGAAATTCACGATGAAATTCTGGCGACGGGCCGTACATTCGTACAACTGTGACAATTTTCATGACAGCATATTTTTACTCAGGGTTTGTTTCGCAACAACACTGGAAAAATGGGTGATAGTAGCAACTAAAACTTTTCTCTAAAATTAGAAAAAATTACTTAGTGAAACGTTCAGATCTTTATGATTATTTTAGTTTCTGTCAGGTGACTTTTCGAGAATACATGCATTAACTCACAGAGTTATTCCACGCTTGTCTCGGTAGAAATTTTGGGTCACCCTGTATTTCCTTTGTTGTTATCATGAGTAAAACCTGTCCTCATGCCAACTGTGTAAAATTGGTTCACTGTGAGTACAGTGGGCCAAAAATGATACAGACAAACAATAGGATGCGCCTTCTAAACACATACATTTACAATCATGATCAATGTTGTACACGTGTCATTGATATCATTCTCAGTTGATAAGTGCGAAACAATAAAAGAAAATGACATTGGGAGTAATTTCTATTCAATTCTACATGAAAACACGAGTTAAATAATGATAAGCGGTCGATTTATGACCATTTTCTACATACTCCACCTCAAAACAACGTGTTAAAGGAGCAATCTACCCTAAGAATAAATACAAGACTTGTACACGATAAAATGTCACCACTTGGTTACACACAGTGTTAGAGTGTGAAAACCTATCTCAATGTTAGTCCTTGAATTCGTTACCATGGTAATACATATGGACATTTTATCCTACCCAAGGTAATCGCTACATACGACTTTTAAGTCAATCTGAACATGGGTTTTCTAGATATCACTTTGTAACAAAAGTTAGAAGTGTCCAATAATAGTCCATAATACGTTACCACGGTAACATGTGTTGCCCAAAACTCGGACCAAAACTGTACACTCTTGTAACATCTTTATAGATACTCGTCATTGTATGAATGCCAAATCAAACTATCAGTTTCAGCTCGTTACAAATATTCTTTTTACACTTTAATTCGATGCCATGGTAACATGCATTGTCAAATATTCTCTATAACTTATGATGACATGCCAACTATGCGTTCGTTTTCAAATTTCTTAGCCGATTCGGACTGTAAAACATTCAAAAATTAAAAAGGAACGAAACAACCGATAACAAAGGGTACAATATTTTTACTATTCGTTTGTAAGATCACAAACTTTCCAACTCAACGAAAACACATCTGGAAATTGGGCACAATCATTAAAAATGTCAAGAACTCAAGATTCCCTCTTGCCTCTAGGCGTTGTCACTTTAACACGGGCAATACGAATGCGTTTGACGGGTAAAATTATCATCTCAAAGTATATAAAACTAGTTAATAGAGAGTACTATATTATTTAGGCGGTTAACCACAGATAGAGTAATCGCTTGTAAAGATATCTGCAACATGGTTTCGCCTCTGAGACAAAAGCTCTAATGACAGTTATAATCATAATTGCTTGTATTTAATGCAACTTTAATGAATATGATATCAACACCGAATTTTCAAAGTTCTGTTGGGGTTTTTATCCAACCACAGTTATCGCACAAGATTGAAAAATAGAAGCTCCAATAAAAAAGAATGGTACAGACTAACTTAGAGACCAACTAAATACTTTCCAGTTTTCGTTTTTAGTATTTTACAATTTTAGTTTCGTTGCCAGTTGCTTATTAGTTGTCTGTAAATCAAGGCTTTGGTTGCTTTCAGAAGGTCAAGGTCATCTGTTTTCATATTGAGGTCATATGAGGCAAACGTAAAATTATCAAACTTATAAGTTAACAACAATCTAGCATGCTAAATGAAATGATGGGATGATGGAAAATAGTTAAGTCTACTTTCATTTTCAGTATCTAAATTGGTTGAAATAATCCTTTGGTTGTTACAGTCTAGATGATAGTAATGCTGAAAGCGTACGTTCTCCCAATGTGTCGTATTTGGAAACACATACCGTATATTAATTACGTCATTTTGGCGTATTTGTTTTACCCATCCCATTTAGAATTTAACCTGAAACTAAGGACAAGAACATTGGTGTTTGGATGTTGTCATTCTGTCAACACAGTGGTACAATAAGTACTGTACTTATACCATGTAATGTGGCTGATTGGCTTAGAAAATGTCGGCATTGGGATGAGTAATTATATTATACACTATCACACCTAGTTCGAGATTATTTACTTTTCCTGTCTGGCTTGGACACTGTTTTTTTGATTTGTTTCCGGTAAGAAACATTGTTTAACCATTCGGTATACAGTTAAGAGCATAGGATGTCGACATGGCAGTAAATATTGAAAATATTGTCCGAAATTTTCGAAATTCCCTCTTACCCGAAACAAATCCATTTTACACGGAAGTGACGTAACGAAAAACCAAGTTCGTGCTATTACGGAAGAGTTCGGGAAATTCCGTTATAACCGCCATCTTAATCGAACTTCGACCAAAAGAGCCATAAGAAACAAAAAGACCTCGTTCTGCCAACTAACCCAGACAATCGGCGGTTCCAATATATTAGAAGTTACATTTTGAGTTGTAGAATGCATTGAGGTAGGTTTCTTAAGTGGAAGGGGCGTAGATAATTCTCCCAAGTTGTAATCGTACAGGCAAATGTATTGGCTCCGTACAGGACTATAGTCCGGGAACAGGATAAGTTCAAAAGATTAGAACCTCGATCATTTCTTGTGAGTCTTGGAGTTTTTTGTGTGTAATAAGACCAAAATTCACTATTCAGATAATTCAAGGAATATTCCTTTAAAGGAATATTCCTTGCCAGACCCTTTCTCTCTTGATATGGTAGCTATAATCATATATATAGTTTCCATATTTAGCAAAACATGGGGAAATGTTTTAATATGGTCAATATTGATCATTTAAAAATCTAGTGCTTATTTCCAGTGAGCTGCCATCTTTTAAGATTTCTTGCAGGAAGTGATGTCATCAACTCTCAACTTCTATAACCTTGCCCATAACAGTATAGGAAAGTAGCACAAAATCACTTCTAGACAAGTGATCATTACTTTCTGTGCAAAAATATTTTCAGGGCTTGTCAACTTAGAATAAAAGAAGAGATTTTCAGAAGGATTAAATAAGATACAAAGTTGAAAAAGAATATTTTCAAAGATGGCAGCTTACTGGAATTGAGCATCACATTTCTAAGTGATCAAATTTGACCATATCAAAACATTTTTGCGTGTTTTGCTAAACATGGCAAGCATATATATGGTTATAGCTACCATATGAGGAGAGAGATAGTTTGGCAAGGAATATTCCTTTAAAGTAAACAAAATAAATGGCGGCTGTGTTCAAGTATTGTTATCACGACATGCCCATGGCAAAAATATCGATGTTGCATTCTGGGGGCCAATCCTCCTTGGCCAATAGCTTATTCTAAATGCCAATATGATTTTTTAGAATTTTAAAGATGATCCTGGCACCCAGCACTAGGTTATGAAGGTGAAATCAGTACTGTCAAGTGTCAACCCCTAAAGATTTTCTCGCGGGACAGATTTTTTAGACCCAGTGCCCAAAATTCGCGGGATTTTGCGGGACATCTACTAAATTCGCGGGATTTTGCGGGACATTTAAGGGATTTGCGTGATTGCGCTAATAGGAGATCCTTTTTTTATCAAATTCGCGGGATTTCGCGGGACCATTTGAGGGACAAACACCCTAATTGCGGGACAGTTAACAGGTGTACCACCAAAAACTTCATAGAGGGACAGATTTTTTAGACAAAGTGCCCTAAATTTGCGGGATTTCGTGGGACATCCACCTAAATTTGCAGGATGTCCCGGGACATTCAAGGGATTTGCGTGATTGGGACTAATGTAAAAGCGTGTAGAAGTACTTAAATCAAACTTTCAGATACTGATTAATCAAATATAATGCACCGTTACATTGTAACTTAAATAAACGTCAACACAATTTCACAAAATACGCATAGGAATATTATTAAACTTTATTGTAATTTATCAAAAACAAAAACCATGCTTCAGGTGTGATTACCGTAATCTAACACGAAATTCAAAAATTCGGAACAATACTTTGCACTTCTGGCGTGTGACCAACTATGAAACGCTTACCCCCATAATGTTATATATTAAAATGTACCTATTCATATACTGTAGGCATGGGCTTTCAATTGAAAGCCCATGATATAGGGGTTCGATTAATCTACATCAAATTATAGGGAATGAGGTTAATTTTCTAGATAGGGTTTGTATAAAAAACCAGGTACCGGGTAGTAAATCCTCCATGCTGGGTTCAAACTTGGTACCCGGTCGAAAAAAAACCAAAAAACGAAATATTCGAATACACAATATAATTAGATCATTAGAAAACGTGTAAGATTTGTTTTGAATTTACAAAAATGTATGTAACTTCCTTCAAAATTGAGCTAGAAGCTTCAAATAAAAAGCATTTTAAGGCTCTTCTTCCTCTATCATCTTGGTCATATTTCCATTGGTAATGAAGGGGGGGGGGGGGGGGGTGCGATCGCACCCCCTCCTGGCTACGCCAATGACATTGTAAGACGATTTGAAAAACAAGACAAATCAATCTTACTCTATTTTCAATAGTTCGTATGTTGGTACGTGAATTGTTTTGATTATGATTTAAATCTGTAAATAGCTATCGTTGCTTTAGCAGAGAGGTGACGTGATTTAATTTGCATGATGCAACATGTAAGATTTTGATTATTAATCATAATTTAAGTTATCCCAATTTATGACAAAATGTCCACTGAATTGTAAATTGTTATGTCTTACAAAGGAGAGGGTGCGATGGTGCGATCGCACCCCCCCCCCATAACCAATGAAAATATGGCCATAACGATAGAAGAAGAAAAGTGCCTTAAAATATGCTTTTTATTTGAAGCTTCTAGCTCAATTTTGAATCATGTTACACACATTTTTGCAAATTCAAAACAAATCTTACACGTTTTCTCATAATCTAATTATGTTATATATTCGTATTTTTCGTTTTTTGGGTACCCGTTTTTTTTGACCGGGTACCCGGTACCAAGTTTGAACCCAGCATGGAGGATTTACTACCCGGTACCCGGTTTTTTATACAAACCCTTTCTAGATATCAGCGTACATTTATTGTAACTCGCGTTTGCTAACATTTGCTCAGTTCTGAGATGAAGGCCACACGGGTAGTAAAAAGGCCAACGTTGGAACTATTTGTGACCTACATCCCTATTTTCGTAATTAAAATGAAAGTTGAACCCTTCCCCTTTATTTTGATACCAAACAACAGCATGCTAGGTACTTGAAATTAGGTAAACTTTACTCCTCAAAAGTGCAAAAACTTAGCTTCTTATATAAGATAAGATAATCAAAATATAGGGGATTGCAACAATTTCGGAAATTCGCGAAGGTCAAAGCCACATTTTGCGGGACTACGCGGGACAATGCGGGACATGCGAATTAGCCTAATTTTGATCAAATTCGCGGGATAATCCCGCCAATCGCGGGACACTTGACAGCTCTGTGAAATTCCCCTATCATATTTTCTTGCGCATGTGTCTCATGATTCGATTGGTCCATTCATGGAATAAGGTTCTCCACTTCTATTTTATGAATTTTGCAATCATCTTATACATATTCAGTATTATCTGGCCAGAATAGCAAGATTGAGGTTTGAATTATTAATCCCTATATCATTTAGGATGTTTTCTCACATGACTAGTCTGCGACTCGATAAAGAAGAATTATCAAAGCTCATCAAGAATGGACGATCTTGCACAGGTACTCATATAAGAACCTTCATATCTCAGGTGTGTATGACTGCTAAAACTTTCGTGACCTCTTGATACAAATCAATGTAAAGCATCATGTTCACTGTTCACAGGAATTTGTCAAGAGTAAAATACTATAGAAGTCAATGAACAAACATCAACTGGAAAGCACTTATAGACGACAAGGGATCATTTACTTTAGTCTAACATGTATGATTCATGATATACAAGGTTACACTGTAATGTTGTCGTAACCTTGCCTGATGGAGGATTTACTACCCTGTACCCGTTTTTTTCTACAAACCCACTCAGAATCTCCCCTCATGACGTCTGTCACAAACTCTTGATACATGTCTCAAGTATATTTACACATGTAACCTATACATGGGCTATATGTAGTATAGGCTCTAGTGTATAGGTACATGAATTTTAATATCTAGAGAAGTATCACAAATAATATTTGTTCCAGGTGGGGGCAGTGGTATAGGGCGCCTTCTAGCACAGCGACTTGCGAAACTTGGTGCTACAATTGTGATATGGGACATCAACAAAGAAGGCAATGAGGAAACTGCAAGGCTTATTACAGAGAATGGAGGAAAGGCACATGCATATATTTGTGATATAAGGTACATACAAGTTCATCATTCCAAGATGAGATGTGATCATATTCACTATGTTGGTATAGTCAGACCATTCATAACAAGTCAACATCAGGCATCAGCAAATTATTTTTTCTGTGTTGTAACTTGTATTTCCTAGTAAGACACACTAATGGTGATACCAGTCCTATATTGATTGATGATATTTATTGATATAATCCTTGAGAACATTTTGTACAGGTTGAAACTTTAATACTGCTTGATAATTTTGTCCAAATTTTGAACAGTGTACCTGCACAGAGTGTCTCGAAAGTATGCCCCCCCCCCCAGGCAGGCCTATGGGGACATTGGTGTATGTCTGCCTAGGGGGGCCCCGTACCTTCGGGACACCCTGTATACAGATTTGAGGATGGATCTGTGGGGGCTAAGGCCCAAAATACATATTTAGGACCCAAATTTTTTATTTCTATTTTTAGCCCTTATTTTTAAACGGAGAAAAATGAACTTTGTTTGGATAAAGGTTCCAAATTTGTCATTTCCAGATCTGCCTCCTGTACAATACAAAACGACTGTACAGTTTCAAAAATATTTCCATTTCCAGTAATAATTCAGAAATCTCAGTATGCAGTGAGACAGTTAAGAGAGAGGTGGGTTGTGTCAGTATGCTCATAAACAATGCTGGCATCGTGAGTGGGAAGAAGTTCATAGACACAACTGAAAAGGACATTGTAAAGACATTTGAGGTGAACACATTCGCGCATGTTTGGGTAAGTGATTTCAGGCTGGTTCTATTTGCATGTTCATATTCTATAGTTAATGAAAACATAAAGAATGAAATCCTGTACTCAAATATAAAGGTAGAATTGAATCTAAATGGTTTGTATATATATCTACAGTAAAACTCTCAGTGAACACCTCTCTCTAGGAACACCTGTGTTTAGTGAAGACCACTTCAAGAAACATTTTACTTTGACTACATATCTACATATAAACCTCTCTGTAGTGAACACCTACCTACAGTAAACACTTTAATGTGGCTCCATAGGTGATCACTATACAGTATATGAGCTTTATTGTATATTGAGCAAGGGAGTCTATAGCTAGTATTTTGCTTTGTATTTTATATAAATCAATTCCCTCCCAAATATCCAAACTCTCCGGCTCCCCGCAGTTTCTTCATTCATGAGCACATATTATTCTTTGATTAGAGATCGAATACAATTTACAAGTTTGATGATAGAGGAGTTTCCATATAGCTTTGAAGTCTCACTAATTCTCGTTTTTTCATGGAACTTTAAGAGATTTCCACTTTTAACCTCTAATGGCAATTTTTTTTTCTTATAGCATATTTGAATTCAGTGAAAAGTATTCCACAATAATAACTTGATTTATACAGTTATGTCATTTAAATCATGTTCCAAGACTTTTAAAAAAAAACTTTGGCAAAACCTCCATTGATGCAATACTTAGATTCTTTAAAACCTTGGTTTATTTGTTTGACAACCAAAAATTTCATGCTTAATCAAAATATGTACATTGACAGGGTCATTCCAAAGTATGCCATTTGAGTTTCAGACAGATTCAACTAACACTTTTCATAAAATATTAAATCAAGTGTTTTTTGGAAGTGATATGGATGGCTATGACAGCCTGGTCCAAGCAAAATGAAGAATGACAAGGGTGGCATCTATTCTGTCAGCTTTATTCAGCTATATAGAAATATATTAAAATATATTAAGAGCTAAAATGTTTGTGTTTCAGACAGCCAAGGCATTCCTGCCAGACATGATTAAGAACCAACATGGTCATATAGTGAACATTGTCAGCTCTGCAGGATATATTGGTATATGTTTTATTTTTATTGATGATTGAAAATTAAATGAAAATTTTGAAAAAATGAAACGTTCATTGTAATCATACAGACTCATAAAATAAGCTATGATGGTAGCATATCTACATTTTGACAGAAAAGCTGACTTCTGCTGGCACCCATATAAAACAGAACAGTGCCTAACTAGAATTTATTTTATGTGCTCTTTCTTGACAATTATATTTTTATGTCACCACCACGGCATCTCCAACTTTGATATGGATGGTGTTCGGCATCTGGTTGGTGTTTGGATGGCAGGTGGTGACATTTTGCATGCTAATACTTTGTTATACTGATGTAGCAATATTAATTTTTCATATTCATACTGCATTTATTCAATTGATCTTATTCAGGGGCTTTGTAACGCACATTTGATAAAAATTTTCAATTGGCATCTTGATTTTCTTCTCTTGCACTCAGCCTTGAGAGTTAAATAATCATCTACATCTCAGAAACATTCACATCAGTTACACACTATAATATTTTTCTCCAGGTGTCAATAGTTTATCAGACTACTGTGCCTCTAAGTTTGCTAGTGTTGGCCTCACTGAGTGCCTTGACCTTGAACTCCACTTTGCTGGCCATGACTACATCAACACCACCCTTGTATGCCCCTACTATATAGACACTGGCATGTTTGCAGGATGTCAAACAAGGTAAATAATGATATAATTAAGAAATATAGACTGAAGAGCAGGGTTAATATTGTTGAATACACCTCGCATCGCTAGGCACAAAAGTTTTCTGTACCCTGAAGTGAGGGGTTCGAAAGCTTTGTGCCTAGCCCTAAGGGGTGTATTGAACGATATTACACCTGCTCTGAGGTCTATATTACAATTCGAACATGAAAATTCACCAAAATGTTTCGAATATTTATTATGGTACACCATTACTACGGCCCACAGTTATGACTTCACACATTACTCGTATTATCAGGTGTACTGTTCGCGAATATACCCCGGATGTTCGAATATACAAATATTTCATAATATAGAGGTGAATTATTATCTGATCATCTTTCAATGATTCTTGCAAGGTGTATTACCCAAAGCCCGAAGACAATCCTGACCAAGAATTTTTGTTCACTGTGTTTTATTCTGTAACAAACTGTTACACTTTTGTAACCATTTGCAATAAAGAGCATATGTTTCATCAAAACTGACTTACATGTACATTGTATTCTGTTCTAGATTTCCATGGCTCTTACCCATTCTGAACCCTGACTATGCAGCAGATAGAATCACGCAGGCTATATTGACCAATCAGAAGCAATTATGCATTCCACGTATAATATACTTTCTTGTTATGTTGAAAACGTGAGTATTATTGTCGACATTACTAAAGAGCGAAGCCTACATGCCACAGGTTGATCAATGATACCATCTGTGTGTGATGATTGCATGTATTACTGTATGTGACTGTTCATACCATATTGTGTGATGTTTGCCTGTATTACTTTATGTGACCGTTGCTACCATATTGTGTGATGTTTGTGTGTGTTACTGTATGTGACTGTTGCTACCATATAGGTGTGATGTTTGCATGTATTACTGTTTATGACTGTTGCTACCATATAGGTGTGATGTTTGTGTATGTTACTGGATGTGACCATTGCTACCATATAATGTGATGTTTGTGTGGGTTTTATGAATATTGAGTGACGTTTGCTTGCATAATGACCACTGTTAGTTTACAACCATGACCATTGCTTCCATATTGAGTGATATTTGCTTGCATAATGACCATTGCTACCATATTGAGTGATGTTTGTTTGCATTTTATGACCATAGCTACCATATTGTGTGGTGTTTGTTTGCATTATATGACCATTGCTACCATATTGTGTGGTGTTTGTTTGCATAATGACCATAGCTACCATATTGTGTGATGTTTGCTTGTGCCATAGAGAGAATTGTTTCCTTAAGTCTATCTGTGTGTGTTTTTGTTAGTTTTAAGCCATTACTAAAAACATTTTGATTTTCTATCTTTTTAAGTCCTTTTGTTTTTGAATGCTTTAATTATTTCACTCATTTCAGTAAAATTAAATAAACACTAAACCCTAACTCAATTCATGCTAGCATTATAAGCCACTTGAGAATTTATTTTTGGGTAATGTTTAAGCACTTCCATATTTCATTTGTGATAAATATTAGAAATCCCATTTTGCCTGAATTGCACCAAACACCTAATTATTTACTCTAAAGCCCAATTATTTAACACAAAGCTGAGATACATTTTGAAGTAGCACTTGTGTTACCTGTTTTAGAGTTTTGCCATTTGTGTATTAACTATTTGTTGATTATTTCAGGCTCACTCCTATTTCAGTGCTAAAACCTGTTTACAGGTTTTTAGGTGTACATACCTTTATGGATAATTATAAGCCAAAAGTGGTATAAATAAATGATTTTGTTACTTATGCACATTAGGCCTATATGGGTTGATTGTCTGTTTAGCAGTACCTGGTGTGTTATCCAGAAACCTCCCCAGGGATCCTTTTTATGGCACCTTTTTGAAGTGCTATATTGTCATTGTCTTGGGCTGTTGGGCCTGCGGGTTGGTGGATGCCACATAAATTCTGTCAGCAAAATTCTGGCAAAAGCAGTTCCCTATTCAATAATCTCATTAGGTTTTGGGCATGCTGGGTAAATTATGTGGTTGTCATTTTGAATTTTCCAATAAAAAGTGTGAAAATGTAAAAAAATAATATAGCCTAGTCAGTGGTCACTAAGCCATTCTCTCCAAAAACTGCTAATCAGACAACTATACCTTGAGGGGCCTCACTTGTATTGTTACACCATGTATCGACACTGTATGCAGATTTGAGGTTGAATGTTTTGTATACTGTATACAGATTTGTGGTTGAATGTAGCACCATGCATGGTACAGGCTACTAATAGGGATGTCGGGTATAAATGAATGCAAAAGTGTTCTTGTGCATGCTACTGAAACCCTAATTGGACCAATCACTGAAATATAAATAAAGGTTTATTTAAGATGTCACGGAGAAAAACTTCAAAGTTTTATTTGAGCATTTTAGATCAATATCAAAGTCATTTGATGAGCTTGTCTAGATAAGTGTGATGTGTGTCCAGTGTGATGGATAGTCCAGAGAGGATTCTTTTATATGCATGTGCACTTATAGTAAGCGAAAATTAAATTGTCTTTCTTGATGCATAATTTTCTTATTATCCCATCGAACGAAGTTCAGAGGGATATAGGGAATGCCTCCGTCCGTCCGTCCGGGCAATAACTCAAATACCGTTGGCCCAATTTTGTTCATATTTTGTACACATATACCCTATGGAAGTAGAAGTCCTGCTCGAAAGCCGATTTTCAAAATGGCCACTCATTTCAAAATGGTGGCCATTTTAGTGCCGATTTAACAGTAATTTAGGTGCAATATGTAAAACTGTAATAGCAATATGTTTTAAATGTAAAAAAATTATAAAGGACATTAAAAAAGCTACAAATGTAGATATTAAAAAAGCACATGGCAGCCATCTTGAAAAATGGCAGCCTTTACTCGTTATTTTACGATTTTTGCTGTAACGCGAAAAGTAGTGGAGCGATTTTGTTCATATTTGGTATGTGAATACTATAAACATGGCACACTGTCCTATGACACTTTTGGTAGAAGGCGGCCATTTTGAAAAATGGCCCCATTTTAACGTATTTTACTATAACTCGAAAAGTAGTGGAGCGATTTTGTTCATATTTGATATGTGAATACTCTAAGCATGGCACATTTTGAAAAATGGCCACCATTTTTATGTGTGATATTATACATGTAGTACACACATTTAGTACATGTGTGCGATTTTTCAAAATTTTTATAGGTGGCTACTTAAAAGCATATTATTTCTTCTGATGACAACTTGGCTAGTGAGCAACCATTTTGAAAATGATGGCCTTTCTGGTGTGTTGTTTAATGATATTTGCTATATATTTCGTTTGTAAAAATGCCAGCCATTTCTGTTCGATGGGATTCGCTACGCTTTGGCGTTGCCGTTGTTCTGGTTCATGTATTGTATAGAAATACACATTTTTGTTGCAAAATGTCACGATTTCTAGACGTACATGTACTGTATGTAATAACTAACGTACAGTAAAATGTGGTCATTTGTGATAGAGATACTGTATGTATGCTGGTATGTGAATGTACATGTACTATAATATTAATATTTACAATTAAATTCATCAAATATGATAATGCATCAATTTTCATCATTCACATTACTTGATACATTAACCAATGGTAAATTACTTTACCAGAAATGACACCTAAAGATAACAGACTGACAGAAGTAATGCTAAAACTAAAAAGTTCATGAAATTAGTGATTGTTCAAGTCAAAATATTCTTCCATGGTTGTGGTATACTGAGACTGAAAGTTTAATCTAGGACATGTAGGAAGGGAATTTCGACTTATAGTAAACTAGTTCAATGTGCAAAAAATATGAATGTGATAAAAAAGATCCTCTGACATTTCTGACAAAAAAATCAAGCCTGATATAAATGTACAGGGTGTCCCAGAACTCAGGAGAAATATTTGAGGGAGATTTAAGGCACTGTTGATTTTTATTAAAATTTGGTGCACTCATGAAACATACATTAAGGAATATTTCTGAATTTATTGACATCTGAATTCTCTGTACCCTGTACTGTTATCTAGTTTTGTAATTGTTTCAATGAGAAATTACCTAATATTGATTCAACTTGGTATTAAATCCAGGTACAAAATAATAGAATGATACTTATCATTGTGACAAATAGATGACATCAATGATGTCATAATAACTTGGTACAGGCATTGGTTTATCATTTTGTTTTGTTATTATTTTGTTTCTATAATTAATAATTTCTTATTTTTTGTTTCTATAATATATTTAGTTTCATACATAAAGTAACTTAAAATGCAATTTTATAAATTCATGTTATGTGTTTCAGGATCGTACCTGCTAGTGCATCACCGTATGTGCATCGATTCATGGGTGGTGATAAACTGATGGCAAACTTTGTTGGACGACAAGGGAACAAAAAGACCAACTAAAGAAATTAATGTGGAATGAATATTTAGCACTTCCTCTTCGGGACTATTAATTCAACTTACGATTCAAGAAAATGCAATAATTTATGACTACAGATTTATGATAGTTTACTAATTAAAGATGTCTTCATGAACATTTTAGTTTCACCAAAATCTCAAAAGAGGGAGTGTCTCAAAGCACATAGCAATGCAACATGTTTTGAAACTGCTTATCAAACCAAAGATGAACTTGTATTAGGACTGCAGTATTAGTTAGTCATATAGTATTAGGACTGCAGTATTAGTTAATCATATAGTATTAGGACTGCAGTATTAGTTAGTCATATAGTATTAGGACTGCAGTATTAGTTAGTCATATAGTATTAGGACTGCAGTATTAGTTAGTCATATAGTATTAGGACTGCAGTATTAGTTAGTCATATAGTATTAGGACTGCAGTATTAGTTAGTCATATAGTATTAGGACTGCAGTATTAGTTAGTCATATAGTATAAAGGTGCTTGGTTGGTTACTTAAACTTAACCACAACCAATTTTATATTGCAACTGGAAATTGGCTTATGGAGAGTGTTTTGTATATTTTTGTGTACTTACGGTATGTACGAATGCTATTAGTTCCTAAATGTCTAAATGACTGATGCTTATTACTTAAATAAATGTAAATTGCTTCAATTTGATGTCAGTTTGATAACTTTATGATTAAAAGTTGTCATGTGTCTTGTTTGTGATTGTGTTAAGTATCCCACTGAATGTTTGAGTAAAGATGCAGAGAAAAATCCATATGCCTGTTGGATTGATTACTTAAGTATTGGTTGATAGATTTGGTTTAAATTTTATAGACTATTGCCTCATAAGGTATAAGCATAAAACCCCATTTTTCATGTTTTTATACTTCCAATATGAAAAATAGTTTTTGATAACTTACTGATGCCCCATCAGTACATAAAAGGTGATGTTGATGTTGATTTAATGACAAAGTACACTGTGTTAAATCTTTTCTTCTTTATCCATATTTGGAAGGATTTTAAAATTTTATATAAGTTCAAAAACTAATTTTTGTAATGTGGACGTTATTTATTTAAAAATGTATTTGTTATCTGTAATATGCCAGTACAATGAATATGATTGTGCATATCAATCTGGGTATCAACCCAGTGTTGAACATACATGTAAATGTAATAAATAATTTTAAAATATACATTTAATATAATTTGTTCCCTTCATTTGTACATAGTAGAGTAAATACTCCTCTTTATTGCATACGTAAAGGCAGGCAAACGAGTTGTATGCCAAATTTAAATTAAGCAGGGAGTAAAAATCCTCTAAATTTCCTTATTCTAGATCACATTTCAACCATTCTAGGGTTAACTCGGCCATACCAACACTTGACTCTAAAACAAAGGCATGTTCATACCCTTTCTCACATAGTATTATATTACCCTGAGGAAAAACCTTTTTCATGTCATGGTAGTATTCCACTGGACACCAGTGGTCAGTGAGTCCATAATACAACAGAATTTTGTCCAAGTTTTCTCTGATACCCTGTAGATCTGGCTCTCTAACAAGTTGCATCTCATCATTAGCCATGTACATTGAGTTCTGTTGGCATGCTGCATCAAATAAGCACAGAGCACCTTTAATGGTACACTCAGGAACATTTCGTTGACTCATGTACTTCCTTATGATTCCCTCCTGAAGACTTTTAGGTAAATATGATGCTGCTAGGGTGAGCGGATAGGCTAGCCAGCGGGCATACCTCAAGAGAGGGGTGGCATACTGGCCCTGAGGCGACACCGCCATTCGCTCTATAGTTGGAAATAATAAATAAGACTTGATTATGTTCCATTTTGGCAATCTCTTCATAATTTCTATGATGATTTGGCAACCTATGGAATGTCCTATAAGAACCAGGTTTAAGTTCTTGGGGATATGTTCTTGTATGAACACCACTTTATGCTGTGTTTGCCCCTCTAGAGTGAAAGGATTCCCAACTGGGTCTGAAGATAAACAAATAATTCTGGCATTATATATTTTATGAAGTTAGTTTTATCACATTATTTTAATTCTGCATTTTGAGATAAATAAGGATGCCTTGAATATATCATAAAATTAATTCTTCAAAAAGTCTACAATCTACAAGTTGGTCTGAATTTCACAAATCTGTTAAATGATGAATTTTTTAGTTTTTATAACCTGAGAGACACAATCAGTCACTGAAAATCATAATAATTATTTTAATAGATTTTTGAAAATGACCAACATATGTTTCACAAATATTATTCGGAATATTATCTAACTACCAAATATCAATCAAATCATAACCAGGCCATGTTTTGATTAATTTTGAAACAAATTCAATAATTCAAATCAAAATATATAACTATGATGCTTTAAACATGATTTAACATGATCTGACAAACAATGGCACTCTGTAACTGTTAAAAGAAAATTTGAAATATCATTCACATTTATACAAGTAATATACTAGGAAAGTCTCCATTTATAGGTATGCTGAGTAATAGGTGACAAACTGGTTATTAGAGAATTTTCATTATAAGTTTTTTAAAAACTTATACGTATACTTATACTTATAAACCCAATAAACAAGGTGTTTCATAATTTCCTAATTCGTCGGGAAATATCTCCTAGGACGGTAATAAAAAGGGCCAATGGCATACCATCCGTACCCCCTTGATGTAAAGCATGTTTAGTTGTGTCATATGTGTTTTCTAGAATCAAATAGGCTGATATAGCACACGGGTTTTACAGATTTATCTACTCTCAAATATATTTTTTGTAGATGATCGTTTTGAATCACCTTGTAGAAATAACGAAGCGAGAATTAGTTCAGCTAATGAATGAGTCGAGCTGTTTGATTGGATACTATGCCTATTCAGCCGATTAATTTTAATAAGCCATTCTGGTCAGTAGGTCCACACATATACTATGCGGAGATCCAACTCTGTAAGTTTATAATCTGCGTATAAAGGCCCTTTTATACGTAAAAACTTAAAAATTGACCTTATAATTTCATGAGAACTTTGAAATGATCGTTTGTTTATCGTACACTACAAGGATCCGTCAACTAGCGTTTAGTTTATCGTGTTCATAATTGACACTAGCAAAGGACATTGTATTCGCAGTCCCTAGTTGATGATGGAGCTTGACTACTGTAGATTGGGTTAATTTGGCGCCCGCTTTAATTTGGCGAATTTGGCGAAATTGAAAAATTCGCCAATATAAATCTCCGCCAAAATTTAGAATGAATCCCCGGGTATTTCGTCCAGTGTATTAAGGTCACTTCCGGTTTATTTTTCCCAAAATATGAAAAAATGTCTCTCATAAATTGGCTAAGAACTGGTCAGTCACTCATTTATACTCAGGGAAAAGTAGCAGCATCGATTGAGGTGTAAAATGTAAAGGATGATCTCACAAAAATGTACAAACGTGGTGAATATCGCCAGTGGTCCTCAAAAGAAAAAATGAACATAGCCAAACATGCCCATTTAGATCTAGATCTACATGGTAATTCGCAAACATTCGTAAGTTTAACATTCCATTAACATTTTTTTTGCATATCCGCCAAATTAAATAGCCGCCAATATGCCAAAAATGGCAAAATCGCCAAATTAACCCAATCTACAGTATATCGGGAATAGTTATGCCCCACTTGGTACAGATTATGAAAATCAATTTGAATTGATTTTAGTTCGACAAGACCCTTTAAACTATAAGTATACGTATAAGTTTTTGAAACAACTTCTAACGAAAATTCTCTATTAACTTTACCCTTACATATAGGGCACATGTTACTGTCGAGCACAAACATTTTAGATGTACTGTATACACAGCCTTCTTTCATCGACAACATAACAGAAAGGAAAGATAATGTGTATATTGTTATACCACCCCTACCATATTGCCCCTTGTATTGTTTCGGAGCTGGGACATGACCCGCATGTGCAACAGCCCATACAGGAACCTTCTCTCCCAGACCCTTGTAGATAATCTCCATATATTCTGCATAGAAATCTGGTACACCTGGGTTACCTGTAAATGATGCAATAGAGCATGTCGAATCAATGATTACAATTCGGGTCAAAAGATGGCAGTGTTACATACTATCAATCAATAAAGACATAAAAATATAAAGACAATTTCAATTCTCAACCTATACATGTAGGACTAAAAAGATGGTTAAACTTCTGCAAGGTTAAACTTGAAAACCAGTATGATGTGTTATTTGGTATCCCTTAGGGGACCTCATACTGGCGTCAGTCTGCCACAATAAGTGTGCTGAAGATAGGACTCAATGAATTGCATGTAGGAAGCCATCACTGAACATGCTGACACTGTATCACTGTAGAGTCTACATGGATGCCTTAAAAGCATTGTGTTTAGAAGATTATTTTATCTTACCTGGGATGATGAGAACTAGAGATTTCACTGAATCTCCAAGTGTCCCATATTGAAGAACATGAGTGGGAACACCAAGTACAGTGGGATACTCAGAAACATTCAATTGTTTTGTTTCTGGTTCTTTTGCGGGCGTATCGCTGAAGCTGCTTTGTGACATTCTGTTCCACCAGACACAAGACTCTTACCTCATGGACCTTCTAACGTGTGACCGACTCCCTACAGACAAAAAAGCAAGCAAAATGAATACATACTACAGACCACTTCCATAGGCGTAGCGACCGGTACGCTGGGTACGCACAGGCATACAAGATGGTTGCAAATTCGCTGTAAATACAACCAAATTTCAAAATTTTCCTGGGAGAGAACCCCCTAAACGCTAGTTTTTTGCTTCGCTCAACTATTGTTCCCGCGGTTGCGTACTACTTAGAAACATAGCGCTACGCCCATGACTTCATTGTTTTATTTCGTCAGTAAAACCTAAGAAATAAGAAATCAAGATCATTGTGCAATAATATCTGGAAAAATATATTCCTATTGTACATAACATATGACATTTGTATATCTTGGATGGCTTCTAGTTTGGCTTATAAAGTATGTGGCCTCTTATATTTTGATGCTTCTCTGCCATTTTCAAAAAGATTGAACATGGCTGAAATTCTTTAAATTACATGAGGGCATGCGCATAGGCTTATTCAGAGACATATGATTTATATTTTAAATGTATATGTCTCTGGCTTATTGCACAAAAAACAAAACAATCTGAAATATACAAATGTCATTCATGTACAATATGAATTGAATATACTTTTCCATATATTAGATCTATTGCAAATGGTCTCCTGATTTCTTATTTTTGGGGTACTGGCGAACTAAAACAGTGTTATGGGCTGGACAAACATTAGCCTTGTTGAAGGCTTTAGCATTTGCTGATTTTTAAAATTTCGATATTTGTTTCCAAATTAAAAATCAGCAAATGCTAAAGCCTTCAACAAGGCTATACAAAATTACAAACATTAGAATTGGTGAATTACCCGGGAGTATTGTAAATTTGTATATGCTGAAGTATTATGGCATTGCATGCTTTAATTTTGTGAAATTAATACCCAGTATCATAAGTTGTAACCATATAGTTATATATGTAAGCATTATTTGATACTATGATGCCTAAATGTGTACCTAAATGACAAGAAAAGTCGAAGCTTTGAATCGAGCTGATCTCTGGACGTTCTACCGGATTACGCATAACACTAGACGAAATCTAACTTGATTCCCGGGTAAAAATAATGGTCTAATATATTTATCAGCGATGTACCTGGGAACTAACAAGGGAGGCACCTCACCTCACAGTATATTGGAAGTGAAATGCCACTACATTCATGGCTATTCATAATACATAATATATGAATATGATATTCTATTGGGTTTCCAGCAGACCGTCCCCTGCCGGTGTGAAGTTTTTCATAAATTAAAGTTTTAAGATATTACATGGAATCAATGGATCATGATTTTTTCTTTTTCAGATGTTTGGAAATTCATGATGAAATTCTGGCGACGGGCCGTACATTCGTACAATTGTGACAATTTTCATCACAGTATATTTTTATCAGGGTTTGTTTCGCAGCAACACTGGAAAAATGGGTGATAGTAGCAACTAAAACTTTTCTCTAAAATTAGAAAAAATTACTTAGTGAAACGTTCAGATCTTTATGATTATTTAAGTTTCTGTCAGATGACTTTTCGAGAATACATGCATTAACTCACAGAGTTATTCCACGCTTGTCTCGGTAGAAATTTTGGGTCACCCTGTATTTCCTTTGTTGTTATCTTTAGTAAAACATGTCCTCATGCCAACTGTGTAAAATTGGTTCACTGTGAGTACAGTGGGCCAAAAACGATACAGACAAACATATAGGATGCGCCTTCTAAACACATACATCTACATTCATGATCAATGTTGTACACGTGTCATTCAGATATCATTCTCAGTTGATAAGTGCGAAACAATAAAAGAAAATGACATTGGGAGTGATTTCTATTCAATTCCTCTACATGAAAACACGAGTTAAATAATGATAAGCGGTCGATTTATGACCATTTTCTACATACTCCACCTCAAAACAACGTGTTAAAGGAGCAATCTACCCTAAGAATAAATACAAGACATGTACACGATAAAATGTCACCACTTGGTTACACACAGTGTTAGAGAGTAAAAACCGATGTTAGTCCTTTAATTCGTTACCATGGTAATAAATCTGGACATTTTATCCTCGCCAAGCTAATCGCTACATACGACTTTTAAGTCAATCTGACCATGGGTTTTCTAGATATCACTTTGTAACAAAAGTTAGAAGTGTCCCATAATAGTCCATAATACGTTACCACGGTAACATATGTTGCCCAAAACTCGGGCCAAAACTGTACACTCTTGTAACATCTTTAAAGATACTCATTGTATGAATGCCAAATCAAACTAATCTTGATTTCTATCAGTTACAGCTCGTTACAAATATTCTTTTTTACACAGTAATTCGATGCCATGGTAACATGCATTGTCAAATATTCACTATAAACTTAAGATGACCTGCCAACTATATGCGTTCGTTTTCAAATTTCTGTAAAACATTAAAAAATTAAAAAGGAGCAAAACGTGTTATTTTACTTGTCAATCCAAAACAGCTTGACACGACCCCTAATATATATATTTTCATAATATTGCAGATAACAAAGGGTACAATATTCCTACTATTCGTTTGTAAAATTACAAACTTTCTAACTCAACGAAAACACATCTGGAAATTGGGCACAATCATTAAAAATGTCAAGAACTCAAGATTCTCTCTTGCCTCTAGGCGTTGTCACTTTAACATGGGCAATACGAATGCGTTTGACGGGTAAAATTATCATCTCAAAGTATATAAAACTAGTTAATAGAGAGTACTATATTATTTAGGCGGTTAACCACAGATAGAGTAATCACTTGTAAAGATATCTGCAACATGGTTTCGCCTCTGAGACAAAAGCTCTAATGACAGTTATAATCATAATTGCTTGTATTTAATGCAACTTTAATGAATATGATATCAACACCGAATTTTCAAAGTTCTGTTGGGGTTTTTATCCAACCGCAGTTATCGCACAAGTTTGAAAAATAGAAGCTCAAATAAAAAAGAAAGGTACAGACTAACCTAGAGACCAACTAAATACTTTTCATTATTCGTTTTTAGTATTTTACAATTTTAGTTTCGTTGCCAGTTGCTTATTAGTTGTCTGTAAATCAAGGCTTTGGTTGCTTTCAGAATGTCAAGGTCATCTGTTTTCATATTGAGGTCATATGAGGCAAACGTAAAATTGTCAAACTTTATACGTTAACAACAATCTAGCATGCTAAATTAAATGATGGGATGATGGGATGATGGGAAATAGTTTTTCATTTTCGGTATATCAATTGGTTGAAATAATCCTTTGGTTGTTACAGTCTAGATGATAGTAATGCTGAAAGCGAACTTCGTTCTCCCAATATGCGTCGTATTTGGAAACACATATATTAATTACGTCATTTTGGCGTATTTGTTTTACCCATCCCATTTAGAATTTAACCTGAAACTAAGGACAAGAACATTGGTGTTTGGATGTTGTCATTCTGTCAACACAGTGGTACAATAAGTACTGTACTTATACCATGTAATGTGGCTGATTGGCTTAGAAAATGTCGGCATTGGAATGAGTAATTATATTATACACTATCACACCTAGTTCGAGATTATTTACTTTTCCTGTCTGGCTTGGACACTGTTTTGGATAAAGATACCATCAACACTTGTTCACATATCCAACTCGTGAAATTATTAAAAATAGTAAAGAAATCTTAGGTTGCCAGGGTAACACTTTGTGTACGTTGACGTGGCTATTTACAACAGATTATGATGTAATATTGTGATCATTAAAATCAGACTAAAAATCAAGCTAAAAATGCAAGGACGACGACCAAAAATAATTTGGACGAGACCTTCCACGCAAAGCATACTTGTAGTAATTAAAACAGGCCCGAAAGTATACGACACATCAAACACATCTTACAACAAAAGCTTTCAAAATTGAAATTACCATTGTGGTCTTTATCCAAAGAATACCCAGTGAATTATGATCAATATTAGGTCAAAACAAGGCATCTTCAAGCCATTTGCATCCTGAACGATAAAAATAAATAAAAACTAACATTTTTATTAGGTATTTATTGAATTGGAGCATTGTTTTGGTTCGACTGGTTTAGCCATATCCGGACTCATCTAATGAATGTTTCAAATTTATTTCATTTAGGGTTTTACTTTGGTTATTGTTTAAAGAGGTTCATACCACCCGAAGCCTTTTTATCATTTTTTGAAATATCAAACAAAACAGATTATTCTAGACTGCGCACAAAAAATGGTATATTCGTACTTATTTCTTGTATCTAATTTCAAACATTAAATTAAGGACAACAACATTGAATTACCTAATATAACGTGACCAGATGAGCACAATGTACATAAAATAACATGCTTGGATTAGGATTTACGATAATCCACAAATGATGCCCTGGCCCAAACGATAATCTCTTGCACGCCAAAGCTAATCCGGACGCGATTCTACATGTAGGCCAATTATGTAAATCACAAAGGGCATCATTGAATATATTCCAACTGTCTTTTAGTGGCCCGATGATGTGCTCTGACATGACCAGTAATGAGTGATTTTCTATTGAGTCATCAGTCATTATCAGTTAATTAGTCAACTGGTCAAATATTGCAGCAGTACTTATTGAAACATAATAAACTTGTCACCTACAGGTGATGTTAACCAAAGTTAATTGAATGTTAATCAAATCAAAATAAATTACATAACGACACAGAGTTCTGTTTTACCAGAAAGTTTAATTTACTGGATTAAAATAGGCTGATACCTTCACTGAACAAGTTTTAGGAGAGTTGAGTTAACCAGTTAGGAACTAGGATTTATGAATGTTCCAAGAGTGATATACGTCCCAACTACGCTGGGGAGAGATACACTGTGATCTCAGATCGAATATCATCTTATATCGTGTAGTCCTGAGTTGATGGTCTTGAGATACTACATGCACTAGTTGAGTTAGGTCCAACAGTTTGTGCCTCAAGAACAACTTTATGCTTATTAGTTAGTTTTGATGTCCCTATAAGCAAAAACAAATGCATTGCCTGCAACTCTTAATTGCTCTATTTTTAATATCATCATAAGTATCACTAGTGTATATATTTGATTGGGATGATATGAATATTAATATGGGCGGCTGTGATTGGATGCTGGACGTTCGCTTACTTTAACACATGGAACTGGACTTCAGTAGAGTTGATGCAGAAATACACAAGGCAGATTAGGATAAATGACAATTCAAAATGGATTACAGGGAATATACAATACACAATACTGATTATTATTAGAGATTATACATTTTTATCAAACATTTTCTTCGACACATTTAAAAAATTTATATTTGCCCGAAGATGGTGATAACGACGACGAAGAAGAACAATTTGCGTGGGAACGTCAAGAGGATTTTAACCAGTGGATGACAACATACACATTGTGAAATCAAATAATTTGGAATTGTATAAAAAACACCAACGATCTTTAAAAGATCAAACCATTGATGAATCTGTGTTCAAGTGCCAAACGCAAGGAGTTTAGAAGATTTGTATAAAAGATGAGGACTTGGAATTTAGTAACGTTATTATTTGTTGTGTATTTATTTATATCTGTCCCTCCCTGGCTTGTTACGACGCCTGCAGTCCTCGGTGAAGACATCACATATACCAATAAAACTAAAAATCAATCGGTGAGTATAAAAATAACTTTGAATGGTCAAATCTGGAATTTTGACATACAGCTAGAATTATTTAAAAGGGAAAAAAATTATTTTTTTGGTTGCATAATCTCGTTTATTTGCCAGGCAAAACTAATCATTTAATTAAACCCAGTCGTTATTTTCATTATCTTATTAGCCAGGACCTATATTATGATAAAATATGTACGTATATAAATAGAATATTAGGCATAGTAAATGTATATTCATTAAACGTATGCTGTAGAAGGGAGTTGGGGGGGGGGGGGCTGTTTACAAGTATTGTAGAATATCATGAATAAATCGGACAAAACCACATCTATCAAATAACTCCAGATTATGATAGAAAAGTAAAATATATAAAAGTTTTTATGAGCCATTAAATTGAACTTTTGGCATTCCGATAATGTCATTGCGATTTTATAGCAAATTGGACATACCTGTCGTAAAACATTTCATTCCGTTGATTTTTATCTCAACGTCCAGTGTAAAAAAGCCCACGGGATAAACGATCACATGTATGTGCATCATAATTAAAACATCTACTCTATTAATTGCTTTTGAATTATTAGTGTTTATAAAATCATTTGGTAACACTAGTTTTTGAAAATTTGGATATATTAATCACTACTTGTAATTAATCAAATGCATAGTAGTATTTGGCCAACTCTGTACTCGAGGCTTTCGATTGAGGATAACTATTTCTTCCTTGATAAATACCTAGGTGACTTGGCTCACTCTGTATTGTTATGTCAGAAATTGCAATGTTGAATGTGTTTTGAACTTTTGATCAGCCATACTATCTCGAGTCTCAATTATGAAAATGTCGTTCCTTCTTAGACCAGAGCTTTACTATTTACCTGCACACTGTATAGCTTAACATACAGGGTGTCATCACCACTTATCTGTCACATTGTTTTATCCTGTATACGAATAGCACAACCTGTAGGTCTGTTATGGAGACTTCTCTCAAAACTTTCATTTTATGATATTAGTTTGTGTAGATGTCGTACAACCTGAAAGCAAACATAGCCCCTCTATCATAGACACCGCTCATACATTCACTAATCTATCCAAAGATAAAGGACCCATTTGGTGCAAAATTCATGATAATTCACAAACAAAAATTGTTTAGAGTGATAAGCAATATAAACTCTAGATTGTTAAACGGGTTCACATTGGGATTAGTTATGTTTTTCTTTATAAGTGACGAAGATTATAAAATAATGTTTAAAGAATTATTTTTCCTTTGAACATAAGTGCGATCAGAGGACCAGGGTATTACCAGATGAACTTCTAAATGACATTTACACAATACGAAAATTAGGCGCATCCCTCAGTCGTTTTAATATCTAAATGTCGAGTATGAACTTTTAGGCATACTTTATCTGATGAACGGTCATAGTGTTCTGAGATTACAAATGTCCGGATTAAAGCATCGTATCAAGGTATATGGCATTTTCAGGCAGCTTTTCAAAAATAATCTCCAAATAACGTGTACTGTAGTCTATGCTTTGGGGGTGCTATACTTGTTAAAGGCTCATACATGAGTTAAACAATCATCCCAGATGTGCCATTTGTATAATTATAATTTAAAAATTACCTACGTCTCAATTTGAAAAAAACATACACAGATATTTAAGGGCTGGTTACAGACTCAGACACACCATATTTCCGAACGATTAAAGAGACATACATAAACGCTCGGCACCTCATAAAGAAGTAGTAAATTCACATAACTTAAAGCCTCTTCTCACAGTCTCATCAACATAAATAATCTTTTGAACCTGACCTCATTTGCATCACCGATAGAGATTAGAAATTGGAGTTAACCCGAAAATCTTCGTATCCGTATCTTCTATTGCTATTTATCTTCAATTTGGAATTTACACAGATGAATTTAATACAACTCTTGAGCGAAGACTACCTGGTAAAATTGTGATATGCGCTACATGATGAACGTTTCCGGAAAGATACGCTATCTAACTAAAATACTGTGAAACATTACATCCAATAAATTACAATCTAATCATTCTCCTCATCTAGTCGAAGTTAAAAGCAAACTTGACAAATTAATTACAGTTTTAAGAAATGCCTAGAGAAAATTGGCGAGACTAAACACAGCCAGTTATTTTATTTTGCATTTCTTTTTATTCAGTAATCATCGTGCATTCATACTCGAAACTAGAATTTTGAGATGTTCAATTGAACGTTTCATTGATCTCATAAAGTTCGGATATTGAAAGTCCAACTTTAATTATTGCTATTATAGATCGCACCCCTGTAATGTTATTCTCTTTGAAAAACCTGCTTCCGGTAACCACGGTTATTGTTGCCAGGTGATCAGGTAGATTGACAACAGGTGAGACTTGGAACATCTTGAGTGTGTGTATGTACAGTTTCAAATGACCCTCCCACCCCCGGCACACCCCTCTGGCCTATACCGAGGTTACTGAATGATCCAATAAACTTGCAGTCCTATCTCTATCAATGGCAACATGTTACTGCCATTTTCTATCCTCCTCGGAATCCCCCTCGGTCCACAAAAATCATATTTTCTCAAATATAAACTTTAGAAACTACCGTATCTTTGAAAATAAGTTATGTATCTAACGTTTCGGTCATTTGAATTAGATGTAGAGTCATTAAAAATATCTTAGAAATTGTAACAACGAGTTCAACCAAATAAAATAATCAACTATTGCCGTACGACCAGAAGACTGAGCCCTTATTCAAAATTGAAAGGAATTGGATAATAACATTAAAGAATAGAATGATATGGGTAAGGTACATGTACATGGAATATATTGCTGTTATATGCAGGTGATATTCGACATGTGTTACATGTGAGGTACTGGGAAGAACGAACCAAGAAATCATCCAGGGAAATCATTCTTCAATTATCATATTCTTCATGCCTTGTCCTGTCCTTGGACAATGAAAGGTTATATATTGTATGTATGCAAGTGGTGTACATTTCAATCAAGTATTTTTCTTGGGGGGGGGGGTTATAAGATCAATACTGACACTATTTTATATTACCTATTTATTCTTTGATCTACATGATCAGAACGTAGGACGCCTGGACTCAACTAAAATTTCATTTTTTGAATTATATATTGATTTTTTGTTGTTGTAAAACTATCTACAATATCATGACAAATGCAGTCCAAGAACATTGCAACACGATGTTTTCTCTTGCATGCTATGTTTTAAAATTCTGTTTCAAATCACTCCCAATGTAAAAGCCAAGGTATGTGTTGAGCCCCGTTTTCTGATTTAAGAGAAAGACCCTTTCTCTCCCGAATCTTCCAGCCGTGAATACACTCCCCGCTATATGTTTGGCAAACAGAAGTTTTCAGTGCATATCAAAGCATGTTAGTGTATGAATCTAATTTTTTCCAATAGTTCGGAAAATTTAAATCGCCAAACATAAACATTGATAAATGATCAAAAGTGGGATTTCAGCTTGCTAAACTTATGGAGGGCAGTGTACAACACTAAATATCTTTTTAAATAGTTATCGTAATTTTGTTAATAATTAATCGATGACAGTTTATCAAAGATGCACCTAATGTGATTTGAGACTAAAGGAAGTGCGTATGAGTGTCTTCGATCCTGAAACACCTACAGATGTACAGATAACAAGGTCTGTTTGCCCTAAACAACCTTTAGGATATCTAATATTTGTCAAAATTATTATCAATTAAGCATATTTGCTATCTATTCCCGGATTACCCTCTTAAGAAGGGACACTCAACATTATTGATGGATTAAGTTATGGTTTATCTTAATAAACAAACATATGGGCTAACGTACAAAGAACTTATGGTTTTGTATGATTTCATTTACATGGATCCGAAAATTGGATAAAGATTTCCGACATTTTTTGGTGTACCCATTATTTGTTTATCGTCCCATATGAATTGGTTCTGCCATTTAGTGACACAAATGTCATTTTAGATATGTGTTGAGACTTGAGAGTACTTATAAATGCATGGAGAGGCTCTGCCTTCATTCGCTTCGCTTGTTGGTTGCAATTGTTTGTACATTAGTTGTAGTTCTGACCGAAATATAAAATGCTATCTTAGCGAATTGAAGTTATGGGAAAATGGATATTGGAAAGATTTTTTCCAATCATTTTGTTGATAAATGGTAGCTTTAAAGTGTTTTTATATGGTTTACTTGCATTATCATATCATGTAGAGGTGTAAAAGATTCGGAGAGGAGAGGGTTTTCATAATATTTGTTTTCCTCCCTTTCTGTTTCTGTGTTTCTTTGGTTTCTAGGGATTTGCTAGTTCGTATGTCACTTGATTATTTTCAATGTTGCCTTTTGTGTTTCCTCGTCAAAATTGAGTTGTTCAAAAGTCACATAATTTTCTACATGCTCATTATACAGTGTTGTCAAGGACATGAAGTAGAACCAGCATGTAGGATTATATAGCCACAAAGGTGATGGGCACCTGCAGTTTCTACCCACGATCTGTATCCTTTCAGGGTCTACATGTCTGGCTCAAAAACAAGGTTAATGATCTAAATGGTTTCTCATGTATTTTCAAGATATATCAAGAGGTCTTGTAAGGATGGCAGTGTTTCCGTTAGCCCGAACAGTTAATGTTACGTATAAGACTAAATCTTTAAAAAATTGTATAATCTTTTTGTTACTAATATAATTACCATAATTTCAACATTGCCCAGTGCTTGTAAAATATGCATTTGAAGAACGTACATTTATGTGTAACTTATGGTCTGCAGCGAGGAACAACGGGAGTTTTGAAGTGCATTACCGCCCCTCTTGCTGTGCATCACTTCATAATCCTGAAACAAATATAAAATATGACTTGTGAGTTCAAAGGTTAACGGATTAGGTGATTTCTTTTCACAAATACACCGAAATTTTACGTCAAGTGTGATTGGTTGCTCTACCCGCCACGACTCTCCCTTTTCAGGGTGTCTGAAACGAAGAAATCAACATAGAATAATTAAATTCAC